GATGAATAACCACTGGGCCTGTGTTGGAATCCACCTCTCTCCCAGTGGGAAGGATTGCAGTGGAGTGGGGATGTAGAGAGATGACGGATTGATGAATAACCACTGGGCCTGTGTTGGAATCCACCTCTCTCCCAGTGGGAAGGATTGCAGTGGAGTGGGGATGTAGAGAGATGACGGATCGCCCTTCTCCTCTGTGCTTGCCTCAGATCCCACCCCTCAATCTCCAATAGTCATTCAAATGTAAGCCAAGAGAAGTAAGGAAACTCAGAAAATTGCAACACGTTGAACAGTTATTTTGACTGTTATAATATACTTATATTTGGCCAAGAAGGTCCTGGTAGGTGACACACATCTGTGATCCTCCCTGAATACTAGAAGACAGACACATTGAGCCAAGACTCAATCGAATGAGAGTCCTTCTCAGTCTTTCTTAGTCTATGACCCCTTCAAGGAGCTGTATTCAATATGTTTTCTGAATTGTCCCAAAATTTAATACCAATGATATAGCATGCATCTTTTTATGTACTGAGGCCCTTTTAAAGACCACACGTCATTGAAAAAGCCAAGATATTTTTGCTTTCACCAAGAACCGATTGTCCCTTTGGGCATACTGTCCCCACTGAGGATTAATAATAATGTGACATTGCATGTTTCTTAAACCAATGTTTCCTTAAAATCCAGAGAATCACAAGGTAGATTTGTGTCTTCTGGGGCCTTGTAAAAATTTGGAAATGTGAGCGTGTGTGTGTGTGTGTGTGTGTGTGTGTGTGTGTGTGTGCACTTGCTTGCAGTAACCATTTGGAAACTGTTAACCACCTCCCTCTGGAACTGACACTCAGAAGAATGTCCGCTCCATTTCCACACTCACTTCCAAATCCCCTTTGCTAATTCTGACATTAGGCTTAGACCTGAGAGAATAGAGCACGTGGCAGGGACAGGTGGGAGCAGGCAGAAGAGTCGTGACGATGTGGCTCCCTGAGTCTGCCTTCCCAAGGTGAAGAGGTGCCACTGAAGTCTGGTAGAACTACTCTTCAGAAGTACTTCACCCTCAGACACACGTGCACCGGTTGGACACTGAAGAATGTGGGTAAGGAGACTGGACACTCAGGGTCTGAGATATTATTAGATATTATAGTATCTAATATTATAGATATTATACATGAGTATCATGAGCATGAGAATGTGCCAGATGCCTTAAGACTCTGCAGAAAGAGTGGAAAACTTTAACACAGGCTATAGAGAAGTAGATGTCAAATATTGGGTCAGCACAGTAAAAGAGAAGGCAGATTTTGATAGGAAAATTGAGACAGTGTTACTTTATGTATGTATATGACTGCATGACCAATGTGATTCTACAACACGGACAYGCAGAAAAATGAGAAATTATAWYCCATCTGTGAAAAAAAACAAACTGAGTTACATAAAAAGARAAGATTTTGTTCCAGTTTAGAATTTGTCTGCAGGGATCGTGAAGCCTCTGTCTACAAAATACATGTTTCTTTAAAAAAAAAAAAATCCAAGTTCCCTTAAAACCCACGGAGGTTTCAAAGGCCGCTCTATAGGCATACATACTATGCCCAGGGCTCACCGGGTCACCTCTCCCTTTCATCTAGAGATAGCTCTATTCTCAAACCCACAGACCCAGTCCTGAAGCCTTGGTTTCATTTGGTCAAATTTACGCAAATTCATTCAAACAAAAATAAGCAAGTTGGTTCAAAGAGAACCAACGGTTCTTTTATAGAGCAGTATCTTACATTTTGCAAAAGTCTTCATAATGCTYTGTGTTCGGCAAGGAAGATGTTTTTCAGAAAGGGAAAGGAACCGATTTAATTGAAAGTCTACTACATGTCAGGTACTTCACAAACATTGTCATATTTCCTCCTTATGTCACCTGGTAAAGTAAGGATTGTGCTTCCCAACTTATGGAGGAAAGTGAAGGATTTGTTCCAGGTAACAAAGGAGCAAGAGTCAGAATTCCAGCCCAGCTGCRCCCTTTCAAAGCTCTTCACATTGTCCAACACTCCCTCACAATAAATGGCTCCCGAGTGTCACAACTGAGGTTCTGAGGTACAGAGAGGCAAAGCAGATACCTCAAGGCCAACGAGCTATTTTATAGCCTGCATCAGGAAAAAGGAATAAAAATTAAAATTCCCTGGCATCCCTGAGACCCAACCAAAAATAGAAGCAGAATAGATTCCTCATCTGTGCTTGTTCTGATCTTTCTCATCCAGACTCCCATGTCAACGTTGAAAATTCATGAGATGCATTTATTACCCAGGTTTAYTCATTAATTTGAAAAGCATGTATTGAACCCTCACACGTGCCTCAGACTAGGCAAACCTTTGACAACATTAGGATAGTCAACACTTTGAACAGACTGGAGGAATCTGGAGTGTATTAGGGAAATGACACTGAATTAAACAGTGCTCAGCATATAAGAAGTCAGTCACAGTAAATTGTCACAGGTACCAGAAGAGAAGTGGGTTCGGGGAATAAAAAAGGAATATCCAGACGGGATCTAGTTAAGGGGTGTCACGAAAATTTTCACAGAGGAAAACACCATGAACTTGAATATGAACATGGGTGTTTGCCAAGGCAGATCAAATGARAGTCTGGAAGTGGGCAGGAGACGGTGGACAGAGGGAGCCAGAGGAACGCAGATCCAAAGGAGTAGACTGCAAAAAAAATTGCATAAAGTTTGAGCCATTAAAACCGAAAATCAAAAGAAACAGGTMAAAGATGGAGGAAACTCAGGAATGCTCTTATAAAAGAAGCTAACCTGGGTTCAGCAGGCAACAGCGAACCATTGAAAATTCTCAAATAAAGGAATAAAGTGATCCATTTATGGCATCAAGGTATTTCTGGAAACAACAGAGAGAATGGATTAAAGATGTAGACCCAGGAAAAGGAGACCATTTAGGGAACTCCCACTCTAGTGTAAAGAGAGAATATAAGGGTTTAACTGAGGATAAAGAAGAAGGAACAAATCAAGACAAGTGTCATGCTCGGGAGCGCTAATTTTGCACGGGATCCTGGTTCTTTGCAACGTGAGTAGCTCAGAGCAAGTCTCTTGTATGAACTGTGCCACCTGTCAGTATAGACGGTGGGGACGACTGTGCCTCACATCTGAATGAACCGGAGAACAAGACGAGTAGCCGTGTTTATCTACTTGGTTTCTCAAGGTTATCATTCTCCAAATCTTACTTTGACACAGTCCACGCACSATGCCTCCCAGCTGGACACTGACCTGGGAGCTTTCCATCTGCCATGGTGACAGACGACTCAGTCAGATGCTCAGGCTGAGCGTGGCATTTTTCTCTGAGTTAACGTATGTGATGCTGCCACCCTCCTAAGTCTCCTCAAGAAATTCTTGAAGTGACATGCATAGAAAATGCCCTGGGCTGAAAGTCAAAGACTGATGTCACCATTGGTTTGCTATCTTGTTCTCTATATGTCATTGAAGCCACAAGAGATCTCTCCAAACTGACTCAAATGGAGGAATAAAAGGGATTTATGATTCTCTCTGCTGCATCTGCCCCTTCCTCCCCACCCAAGAGTTCATAATCCGTGAATCTACATGCTTCGTGGGCAGTTTGGGTGGTGCACTGTTTGTTTCCATGTTGAGCTGGAGTGAATGGGCAGATCTGCACTGGGCCAGGAAAGGCAAGTCCAAGGCTGAACAGACACTGCTTACCATACATAGGAGGGGAGCGGAAGGAAGCCTATCTTGACCTGATCGCCTACCTCACTGGTATTCTTGCATTTCATGTCATTTCTCCATATCTGCATGCAACTTTCTTCATGAATAGAGCTGTCTGCCTCTTCTCTCTAACCATCCACCTCATTTTCTTTGTGTTGAACCATTTATCTAAACAACTGAGTAGCCATGAAATGAAATAAAAAGCAAAGAGAAGAGACGTCATTTGCACGACATATTATGTGAAGGTCATAGAAGGGCACTGGCATAAACTTCTACTGTGATTGAGAAAGAAAATTGAAGGAGTGGTGAAATCCATCATTAAAATGTATTTAAGGGCTGGGATTGTGGCTCAGTGGTAGAGTGTTTGCCTAGCATGTGTGAGGCACTGAGTTTAATTCTCAGCACTGCATATAAATAAAAATAAATAATGGCCCATCAACGACTACAATTTTTTAAAAAAATTAAATTTTTTAAGGGCTAGGGATATAGTTCAGTTGGTAGAGTGCTTGCCTAGCATGCAGAAGGCCCTGGGTTCAATCCCCAGCACCACAAAAAAAAAAGTTATTTTAAGACTTTTTTGTAAAAATTATTCTTTGATTTATGCATCTGAAATTGGCTGGCAGTGTGGGATAGTAGAAAGATCCTAGAATGAAGAGTCAGGAAGAAATTTGTCTTATTTTTTTCTCCTTCACTGAGTTTTCTCTATGACCTTAGAAAATTGACTTACTCTTACTGTGTTCAGTTCTGSTATTACGGAAGTGGGAATAATAGTGTCTTTCCTCAGATCACAGGGGGATGCTACTGTATTTCAGAATGCAGTTACTTTTTAAAACTACCATGTGCTTTTCAAAAGGATCCCCATCATGTTGTTAGTGGGTGTTACTTCATTCCAATGGCTTTTAAGCCATAGAAAGAAAATAGAAAGTGCATCAAATCAGAACTGCTCTGATTCAAAGATTCAGGAAACCCAGAGCCCCTTCCACAAGGCCTTTCTTCAGGTTCCTTCCTTAGTAAATTCCAGAAGTTGGTTTTAGCAGAACCATGGGCACCCTCCCTCCTAGTACAGCAAGAAAACAAGTGATCTGCTCCAAAACCATGACGTGCACTAACCACGGAGCTAAGGGGAGGGGAAGCTAGTGATTTTCCCAGGTGATACAGCCAGTTCCTGGAGGACATGGGGCAATGACAAACCAGATACATATGCATGCTCTGTTTCGTTGTAAGAGATAAACCATGCTTGATTTCACCATCTCATTAATATTTCCTTCAAAGGTGTCCATGGAGGAACAAGCATCATTCAATGGCTCTGAAAAATCACACCAGGGTGACTGAATTTATTTTTCAAGGATTGACCCAGTCCCGAGAGCTGAGCTTGCTCTTATTTTTCTTTTTATCTGTGGTTTACACAACAACTGTGTTAGCAAATGTAGCCATCATGGTCACTGTGACCTGGGAGTCCCGCCTTCACACCCCCATGTACTTCCTGCTCCGCAATCTCTCTGTCTTGGACATCTGCTTCTCCTCCATCACGGCTCCTAAGGTCTTGGTGGACCTTCTGTCAAGGAGAAAGGCCATCTCCTTCAATGGGTGCATCACCCAGATGTTCTTCTTCCACCTCCTGGGTGGGGCAGACATTTTCTCCCTCTCTGTCATGGCGTTTGACCGCTACATGGCCATCTCCAAGCCCCTGCACTACGTGACCATCATGAGTCRGGGGAGATGCACGGCCCTCATCGTGGCCTCCTGGGTGGGGGGCTTCGTCCACTCCATCGTGCAGATCTCCCTCTTGCTCCCGCTGCCCTTCTGTGGACCCAATGTTGTTGATGGCTTCTACTGTGACGTCCCCCAGGTCCTCAAACTMGCCTGCACTGAGACTTTTGTTCTGGAGCTCCTGATGATTTCCAACAATGGCCTGGTCACTACCTTGTGGTTTGTCCTTCTCCTTGTGTCCTACACAGTCATCCTGACCATGCTGAGGTCACACACTGGAGAGGGCAGGAGGAAAGCCATCTCCACTTGCACGGCCCACATCACTGTGGTGACCCTGCATTTTGTGCCCTGCATCTACGTCTACGCCCGACCCTTCACCGCCCTCCCCATGGACAGAGCTGTCTCCATCACCTTCACTGTCGTCATCCCTGTCCTGAACCCCATGATCTACACCCTGAGGAACCAGGAGATGAAGTCAGCCATGAGGAGACTGAAGAAAAGACTCTTGCTCTCTGGTTGCAGACCAAGGTGGGTGTAACATCAYTGAATTCTTTTCTTTCTTTTTTATATGAATTCTTTTCTTAAAATAGTAGCTGTTGAAGGTTGAGACTTAGCCACACACAGACAATTAACTGTAACAGAGTAGCGCACACACACAAAGGATCAGTGACTTGGAACACTGGTTTTAAAAAGGAATATCAGCAGAAAGTTTAACAGGAAGAATGCAGCCCTTGAAGACCAACTGACAACAAGCAGGTCATAATCCTGAAATATAAGAGGAGTCCCTGGTGTTCAGGCAATGGGATAAAGGTTAATGTTGTGATGATGTTCAGGCAGTGCAACAACTGTCTCAAGGCTCCAGCAAGGCTCCAGCAGCTAAATCTCAGTTCTTCACTAGTAACTCTGTGGCTACTTATTAAGCACCTAATATGTAAACAACACTGATGGAAAGCATTCTTCTCTATCACTTGTGCTTTGTCAGTAATTTTGGAGTCTCTTTTAAAATTAACTCACCTAYGACATGTACTAGCACAACCCCCAGAACCATTTGGTTAAACAATCCTTACTCTTAAGGATTTCCTATGGTCTTTCTCTCTCTGTGAACTTGTCAGAATTGAGTCTGACCTGGGACTTATAAAGACTGATTTTATAAATCCCCAATATATAACTACAGAAATGGCAAGAATCTGGGGCTATCTACCCCACTGTTCATACCAGCTCTACCTTAGCCATAAATGAGTTTAACTCATTGAAGAAATAAAACCTATCACCCAATAATGTTTTTATTTTTCATATATGTACTTYTTTGTCATTTCCCTTCCTGTGGTGTATTAAAATGCCAAGTTGGTAGCCTATTTCTCCTTTCTATTTCCAGTCTCTAGAATGACTCTTGATCCATAAGAAGCTTTAAGTCAATGTTGACTCTATGGAAAGAAACAAAATGAATGCATGTAGAAGATGATACCAAAACTATAGTTAGTCTTTAGCTTTTACTATTTAAAACTAAATTGATTTGGGGATGTTCAGTGGATAGAGCATACCTGTCATACAGGAGGCCCTGGGTTTGATCCCCCACATCAATACTTAGACACTTCTTCATGGAACCCAACTGAAATAGAAATAACTGAATCAGAGTGTACTGTGATATTTTATTCAAGAATTCAACATCCTTGTGTGTTTCTTCACAAGGCCACCAAATCAACGGTTACATTCAAAATCTTTGTTGGGACTATGTACACAATAGAAGAGGAATATCCTAGAACAAATGAGTGTGCACACAGATGCTCATGCATCCAGAGTTCCAACCAGCCTGCACTCCAAGAATATACAGACAGCCTCAGTACACCTGAACTAAAGGGAGTCATGTACAGGAATGGAATAGGTCACCTCTTTCTTCCTTCTAAAGCATCAAATCTAGCAAGATCCAGATAAGACATCCATTGAAATGTAATTAAAAACCACTTCTAATAATGATAATATTACAGAATCATATTCCCTATATAATTTAGTGGGACCAGATAGGTTTTGGAAGTTAAATTTCTTAGATTTTAGAAAGACAGAACAGTGCATTATTATATATGACAATTATTTCTCCAATAAGGAGCAGCTGATACCCATACTCATTAATATTTCCAAAGGAAAATGTGTACATACTCTGACCAAGTGCAATGAACAAAACATTAATTCAGACCGAATATTGACCCAAATTAGTTCAGATCAAATCCAGCTCTACTACTTCATGACTTCCTAAAAATCTTTCAACACTCAGCATCTGAAGATATCAGAATGACTGGCAACACAGGCAGAGACTGGAAAAGAGGGCGTAGTATGTGGTAGGCGGAACAATCCCCTGTAAGGGTACTCACATCCCAATCCCCAGTCTCTTCAAATGTGTTATATTGCATAGCAAAGGGAAATTAATGTTGCTAGTGGATAAAAATTAGGATGGTTATCTGGTGAAGGTGATCCCCCACTCACTGTCTTGACAGGGTCACAGTGAGAAAAAGTGTTGGCAAAGC